TGTCTCCCTGCTGACAGACAAGCCTGGATTGACAGCAGCTGAGAAGAAGCAAGCAGGTAGTTCTGCCTGGCTTGAGAAGAGACAAAGGTTTAGTGCATTTACAGGTGGGCAGGAGTTTGTGGTGCTAGGATTAGCTATGATCAAACAATATGTTCCTGCAAGCAGTTGGGGTGTTGCATGAGGCTGCTGCTCCTGCACAGGAGTGTAGAGGACTCTGTGGCAATGGGGAACCCCGGGAAAGCAATTTAGCAGTGCACTGCTCAACTGGAAACTGCTTCTCCCTCTAACAGACCGGCATAAAGCATGCTGCCAAAGTAAATTGAATTCTGCAGCAACCCAGGTGGCATATGATTATCTTCCTCCTCCTGAAAGGTTTGTCATCACTATGTATCAAAACCTCACCTTGGTCTGAAAGCTGGGGGCATTGGAGAAACTGAACAAGAGAAATGAATCCCATTTTAATTTTGGCCAAAATCTTGCAGAATGGAGAATGCACTGAGGAAATGTTAGCTGATACTGCATGGTTTTATTAGTATTCTGGGCTTCAGTCAGGAGATTAATAATGGCCACAGACAGTGTCTCTTCATATTAAAGTGTCTTCACATGAGTAGTTTGGGTGAGTGCAAAAGGACTGCAAGGCACAAGCAGGCTGTCTTGTCTGGCCCCAACTGACAATGAGTCAACACTTTAATATAAAGAAGAGACAGTTGGTAACAGTCATTAACATAACAAAGTGCCCTGTGGATCACTCCGAATTCATCTGACTGTTCTTAAAGCAAATGTTTTCCCCCGAGAAGTGGCCACAGGACAGTTTGAGTGTTCTGCTGGGGGTGGGAGAGGTGCTCCAGTGGGATGGCTGGTCCCAAAGCCTCCTGGTAGAGGATGGTGTTTCCTCGAGGTGACAATGTGCTAGCTTTTTCATTTTTCAGCCTGATCTTGTGTCAAAACTGGACTCAGGGTTTAAACTGAAACAGGAAGTTCAGGTTAGATATAAGGAAGAAATTCTTCCCTGTGAGGGTGCTGAGGCGCTGGCACAGGGTGCCCAGAGAAGCTGTGGCTGCCCCATCCCTGGCAGTGTTCAAGGCCAGGTTGGACACAGGGGCTTGGAGCAACCTGATCTAGTGGAAGGTGTCCCTGCCTGTGGCAGGGGGTTGGGACTGGATGAGCTTTAAGATCCCTTCCAACTCAAACCAGTCTGCAATTCTGTGACTCACGGGGTTATCTGCAGCCCACCCCTTCCCTGTCTGTTGGCCTCCTCCACTGGACAACTGTGAGAAAATCTGACTTCTGCTAATACAGGCAAGAGGAAAAAGGAGTCAGACAGGCTGCTGGTTCTCTGTGTGCGGGAGAGGCACAGGCTTGGCTGCTGTGCTTCGGTGCTTGGCTGGACATGTGACAGTGGGGGCTCTGTGTTGTACATCTGGTATTGAAGGAGTGTGAGTAGAGGCTAAGAGTAGCTCCAAGGAGAGAGGAAATGCTACACAGAGTAGAAGTACAGATTCACAGACCGGTTTGGGTTGGAAGGGACCTTAAAACTCACCCACTTCCAACCCCCTGCCACAGGCCAGGTTGCTCCAAGCCCCACACAGCCTGGCCTTGAACATTGCCAGGGATAGGGCAGCTCCATCTGTATGGAAATAGCAGGCCTGAGTGCTCAGGGAGAAAATTGCTTGACTTCTTTACCATTGTACCATTGTGCTGGAACAATGTGAGAAATGTACTGGTTGAATGTGCTGAGAAGCCATTGTGTGTCTGTCCAGAACAGCCTGTTTTTGTCACTGCTGTAACTTGCCTGTGCTCTTGAACTATGGCAAGACTGCAGGTTTCTCCTGCGGTTTCCAATCTGGCATCTGCAGTGAGTTTTAGATCCTCCTGCTGCCAAGTGGACCTTGCTCCCCAGCCGCCTGCCTGAACAGAAACCCTGCTTCCTGGGACTGATGTAACGGGAATGCTCGATGATGGAGAAGGTAAACTGTGTGGCTCTGGGTCATGTTGCTGGCTGGCAGCTGGGAGGCACCGAGGACAGAGACACCAGAGCAACCTCTTCACTGCTTATGATCACATACCTGACTTTAGTGCTCACAGAGGGGTCATCACCTCAAGGGCAGCTGCAGGCACCTGGGGCACTGGGTTCGGGATGGCTGTGTGTGTTCTGGGACCTGTTGCTCAGGAGCATGAAAGAAACCCCTGACTGTCCCCCAGATGTTGGTGTGAGGGGAGGAGGAGGGACCTCTTCCACCCCTGCCCACTGCAGCAGGGTAGCTGCGCGTCCCAGGCAGTCATCTTCCAGGGTGTGTGTGGGGGAGCATGAATGCATCCCTTTGTGCAGGGCTGAGCTGGGGGCCGGGTGCTCCTTCAGGGATGTGGAGAGAGGGCTGAGAGGCGCCCGGGTGGGACCTGGCTGGGAGAGGAGCCGTGGAGATGGCGGGAGCCGCTCAGTGGCCCCACGCTCATTGACTTAATTGGGGCTGCGCTGCGGGGCTGGAGGAACGCGAGATGGACGGGATTCTCACGGCGACGGCCGGGACCCGGCCAAATCATTAACGTCAATTAAGTACCGAATGTGTAGATTACTGACATGTTATTGTTAGGGCCCTAAAGGAAATATAATTAATAAAGCTCACCCACCCACTCCAAGAGGCAGCTCTTTGTGTTCCCTGTGCTTTCCCCTGCCGGCAACGTCTATCTCCTCCCGCAGCCCCATGCTCCTTTCAGCAGTCTCGGACAGCATTAACATTTGAATTAACATAAAATCACTTTCTGAAATCTGTTAACATTTATAATGCTGCTGTACTTTGCCTGATCATCACGTTTTTTCTGTCAGTTTGAGCTTGGTGAGGGCTTTTTTTTTTTTTTTTTTTTTTTCAAGTGATACCAAACATAGACCTATTATGCTGCAAAAAATTGCATATTTGTTTAATGATTTCCCATTGGTATCTTTGTTGCTATGAACCAAAGCATTAAATAGAAGCTAGGATGTTAATGCTGTGTTGTTCTACATAATAAATTTGAATATCCCCTGATGAATATTTTTAGCAGGGATTTTCTGAATAAAATGCATATGTGCCAGGGTATTAGCAATTACTTAAAATCGGTTTCTGACATTTAATGTTGACGTCTAAAATATTTCCTTTAATTTTTGGTAGTCTCTGCAAACAGAAATGATGGCATTTGTCCTGTGGAGGGCTGGGTGGACAAATAACACTTTTATTCATAATGAAATGAAAAGCAATAAGGAAAATGTGCTAAATGTCAACAGTAAAGCATATCTTCTCTTCACATATTATGAGCAGAATATACCCCAAAATAGACATACACACACAAAAAAACCCCATTAAGTGACTTAATATGTTTGAATATTAATGGTTTGAACGTTAATCCGTTGCAATGGTTCAAATTTTTGAAAATTGGCTATTTAAACACATTATTACCTCAATAAATTCTCTATGGCCACTGTGGTAGCCATAGTATGTGAAGTAATCATAATAAATCTGAATTTACAAAATATCTCCAAAATTGACCAGTTTTGCTGAGGGAAACAAAGATGAAGTATTTATTATTTAACTCGATATATTTTGTCCTCGCACAAGTTGCTTGTCTAAAAAAGCAGCAGTTGGAGGACACGAGGACCCAGCAGTAGCTGGAGAACTGTGGCACTTGGGGGTCTACATGGGTCATTTTAAGTAGAGGAAGGAAGACAGCTCCACCTCTGACTTTTTCCATTCCCAAGACGTCTGTCCCTCCTCCTCGTCTTCAGATCATGCCCCTCAAGG